CCGTCACCAACATGGGCTGGGTGCTCAAGCTGCCAACGGCAGAAATTAACATAGTGCTTCTGTTACAGCACCATACCTGGAGGTAGCAGGCAATCGTTTAGAGGGAATTAAATACTACACTGGCCCTCTTTCCGTATGGAAGCAGGCAATGATTTGTCTGCACGAGATGGATTTTTCTTTTCCCACCCCAAGCTTCTGCTAACACTGTCATTCATTGACTTACTGAATGACTTATTCATTGTCACAGTTTCCACACAACATTTTTCAGCTAGGGAACTCATATTACAAGGGAAATGAAGCAGTTGACTGACACTCGTGAGATTTACAGGTCCTTCTATGAGCATTGACCTTACAAAAAGTGAAATAGCTCATACTGAAGACTCATTTGCTGGACCTGAGGGAAGAGAACAGTTTGTAAGTTTGGGGTGCAGTTCTAGCATATACATGGCATTTGTTCTCCACCAGCTCCAACAATATGGTTTCTCGTGTAGGCAGAGTACATGGTTCTGAGAATTAATGTGTGAAAATAGGAGTGACACATCTCACCAATTCATCAAACAAGCTATTCACAACAATTTTGCTTCTCGATTTTTTGCTAATTGAAAGCAAGTAAAGATTATCTTAACTAGATTAACTAATCTTAGTATCCAAGGGAGAAATAACTCTGTGTGGGGATATATCAGTGGTTTCACTGAACAGGAAGTTCTTGATCTGCTCACTCCACCCTTACGTCTCTGTTTTCAAACTTTTCACTTTATTTACTCTATTCTAGCCACGCTGGCTTCCTTCTTCTTCTTTCTTTTTAAAACCAGAAATATCAAACACACTGTACCCCAGGACTTTTGCACTGGCTGGACCCTCTTCCTGGAATACTCTACCTCTAAATATTTGCAGAGCTAACACCTTGCTTCCTCGAAGTCTTTTCTCAAATATTACCTTTGCGAAGAGGCTCACATTGAGAAACCTATTTGAAGTTGACCTGCCTTTGCCTTTTTTGGCACTCCTTATCCCCCATTTCTTTTGTGTAGCATCTATCATCTTCTGACTTGCTATATAATTTATGAATTATATTTGTTATTTATTGTCTATCTTCCCCATGGAGGTTGGGATCTTTGTTTTGTTCACTGTTGTTGCCCAAGAACTGAGAACAGTGATTGATATGTGGATGTAGCTGGTCCTCAATAAATATCTGTTGAATGAGTAAACAAATAATTGAGATTGATCCCTAAATTAATTACTGCTAGTTCTAAGGATTCTGAGTTTATTCTGAAAAAACTTCTCTGAAAATTCTATTTTAGGTAAGTGGGCCCTGAGATCTGGATTAATCCTGGAAATATCCTGGATCTTAAATGAAAGAATTTCTATTCTTGATGAAGTCAAAGAATCTTAAAATTGCGAGGGGGCTTATAGTTTCACTCTATCGACCCACATTGCCATTCTTAGTGCAAAAGGTTTAATGAGAATCTTACCAGTTTTCTGCTGTCTAGGGATTTCAGATTAGGAAATTTATGCTTCCACAAATTTACTGAACAGGCTTGAGCTTAATTCCACTAAGGATACAAAACTTTATTTTCTGTGAAGTTTTCTGGCAGCAGTAATTAGAAAGCACTCTCTATATACTCACGTTAAAGTTTCAAGCCCTTGATATCACGGTCATTTTGTTTAGAAATGTAAATCAACCAGTAGATTGTCATCTGAGTTGATGAGATTGGTGGATGCTTGTGAAGCAAAAGAAGATACATGTAAGTTATAAAATTGTTCCATTAACCCAAAAATATGACAGTTAATAATTCATTTCTTCCCCTTCAGGAGACAGAACGTAATTAAAGTGTCAAGGAAGTCATACTAAATTTCAAATTTCAGGTAGCTTCCTGTTGTAACATCTTATTGTTAAATCCTTGAGAACGTAGTTAATAAGCACCAGCCTAGTACAACATGGAAGGCTGTACCTTCCTTCAGTTCCCCTGTATGTCTACAGACTTAACTCATCCTCATTCATTCAGCCGTTCAACAAATATTCATGGAATTCCTACTCTGTCCCAGGATTTTATGGCAATGCTTAAAGGAGTTTAAAGTCAGTTTTATTTTACAATGATAAATATCTTCCTTGAAGGATGGCAGATTATAAAATGTTCATTTTAACTCCATAAAGCTGATGGAGTAATGTAAGTGCTTCATTCTCCCCTTTTCCCCAGAGTGTGTGTGTGTCTGTCTCTCTAAGAGACAATTATGGGGGTTGGGAGTGGAAAGGGTAGTGTATGTGTGTTTAGGCACCAGGTTAGTCACTTCAAATATGTTATCTAATTTAGTGATTGAGGGCTCATACCAACTTTAAGAGAAGGGCTCTCATCCCCATTTTAAAGGTAAGGGATAAAGAAAGACTCAGCTTAAGCAAATGATCCAAGGTGACACACGTAATAAGGAACAGAGTGTGGAATAGAAACAAGGTCTGTCCAACTTTAGGACCTTTTTAAAACAATCGGATGCAGTCTTTATTATGTTCATCTTCTCACAGCCAGAGAGTGAACATAATTTATTTTCCAGTCATGAGATGATTACTTTTTTCCCTAAGTCCATATGCAAAGGTACATAGATTACTGCCTGGTTCGCTTAGAAGTAGCATATTTGGTTCAGAGTCATTGAGCTAATCTGGTTAAATAGATTTGACCTCAGAAATTTAATAGTCAAAAAATTTTACTTGAATTCTGTTTCCAGAGGTTTTTGTTGTTATTGTTTGTTTGTTGTTGTTTTGGTAACTGTAATATTTAGTGAAGGGAATATGACCTGTTGTTTAAATAACTGAATTTTTTAGCTTTCAAATCTCAGGTTAAGAACAGAAACATTGTACTAAATTATCTGTTTAAGAACAACAAATATTGTTTATTTGTAAAAGGAATTTTTCACATTTATTAGCCACAATTCAGCTTTTTAAAAATTTTCAACAAAGAAAGGCATACTTTTCCAGAAGGTGGCACTCTAAGAACGTCATTTTGGTTTTTGGATTTAGGCATGCAAGAGTACTACTCTATCCTTCACTGGATGACTTGTACATTTAAATTATGGCCTAAGTCTTTGTTGTGCTCTGTGTGTGTGTGTGTGTGTGTGTGTGTGTGTGTGTTTATTGTCTATTTGAAACATGAAACTGTTAGGAAGTATAATAAAATGCCTTTTAAAATTGTGCACCTTTAAAGATCTAATCGTATTATTAATATGTGATTCATATATTCCTGTTATATTGAGAAAACAGGTATTAATGATAATTATTCTGCTCTTTGATTAAATTACTATGTTTCCAAGTTACGTTGTTATAATTCAAAACAAAGCAGAAAATTATATCTTTCCTTTTCAGCCGTGTTCAAAGTACATCAACAAAAACATATTTTAGAGACTCCTGCGATAGAACAAAATTCTTATATGGAACAATTTACAACTGACAGTTTTGGTTGATCTCTCAGTTGTGGCTGAGTAACAGAAATAAGTTTAATTATTAATAGTTGGTCTTGAAATTTAATGTTTAGTTTTTAACAATATTCTCTCGATTTAATTTCATGTAAATTTTCTAAACTGCTCTGTTATATTAATAAATGTCTAGTGTGTTCTCATGAGGGTTGTTATTTGGTGATTGAAATCTCTATTGTGTTTTAACACCTCTTTTTAACATCTTTAAGCTTATTCAGTAAAGAACTTCCCTCACCTTGTCAGTGGTGTCGATGGTGAACACTGAGTTTGGAATTGTAAAAGGGAGAATAGGCCTGAATGAGATCAACCATGTGTTAAAGAAAAAAGAATGTAAAAAGAATTTTATTTCAACTCTATCTAATAATAGATTATATTTTAATATGTATTTCTGAACATTTTCATAAACCCAGTGGTTACTGTATAGCTATTTTGAGAAATCAATAAACTCCATATACTTTTTAAAAAATATGAATTCTTAAGATCAGCTTTTGGTTATAATTCTTATTTTGAATCCCATGGCATAAAAGAAAAATCTTTTTAAAATATTTGATTGCGTTTAACAGCTCATAGTGACACTTTCATTTGATAAAATGTTCAGAATTCTATGCCTTAAAGGTGGAACAGTCTTAGTCACTAGAAAGTTCAGGAAGAGCACATCTTGAGCTTCGACACGAAGTGTTATAAAATAGTTTCAAGTGCAGTTGTTTACTATATAAGATCTTCATTGAAAACTCCTTCCCCACTCCCCTAACTCTTCCTTTTTTCTCTATAGTTATAAAACAGGGATTATGTTATTTTATTATTATTGATAACAATAATATTCAAAATAATAATTGTAATGATGACTTACTATTTAGAGTACTTTTCCTCAAAGAATAAAAGACAAAAGAATATATCTTATACTAGTTTGTTTCCATGCCCTTGGGAGTTCAGGTGGCATTTTCTCTCATTTTCTGTCTCTTACTCTTTCCAACTTAGAATGAGAAATTTTGAACAACATTGCTAAGGATCAAGTCAAGGTGACTTTTATATCCTTAAAGAGGAAAGGTGGCATATACAAGACCACTTTTTAAAAATAAATATTCCTCTAAAGTTTGCATAACCTTTGGCCAGACATGGTGGCTCACAGCTGTAATCCTAGCACTCTGAGAGGCCAAGGCAGAAGGATTGTTTGAGGTCAGGAGTTCGAGACCAGCCTGAGCAAGAGTGAGACCCTGTCTTTACTAAATGTAGAAAAAATTAGCTGGTCAACTAAAAACAGAAACAAAAAATTAGCTGGGCGTGTTGGCGAGCACCTGTAGTCCCAGCTACTCGGGAGGCTGAGGCAGGAGGATTGTTTGAGCCCAGGAGTTTGAGCTTGCAGTGAGCTATGATGATGCCATTGCACTCTAGCCTGGGTGACAGAGTGAGACCTTGCCTCAAAAAAAAAAAAAAATTACATAACCTTTGATTAAAAACATGCAATTTCAAATATAATATGAATATAAATAAATTTACTATCTCACATTTTTGAGTTGAGGGGTTTTTATTTTTATTTTTAGGATAAACATGTTCTGACAGTTGTAACTATTGAAAGAATGCTGGAAAGGCTGAAAAAATCAAATGAACTTTTGGAACTCATTCTTAAAGGACTTAATGAATATTTGGAAAAGAAACGCCTCTTCTTCCCCAGATTCTTTTTCTTGTCGAATGATGAACTTCTTGAGATACTATCTGAGACTAAAGATCCCACTAGGTAAGTAACTTATATGTATGATACATGGCTAAATTTATCTGCTTAAACTTAATCTTTAGAACAAGGTAGAACATAAATGTATAATGTTTATGTAATAATTTTTTCAGAATAGTTTAAGTATTATCAATAATCAACTTTGAATAATTATTAAAAACATAAATAATATATTGAATGATACTTTTTCCAAATGTGATGAACCTCAAATGGATTTTTTATTTTATCACATTTTCTTATAGATTTTCCAGAACACATGACTCTTTTACATCACATTCAGAATAAAAGCCAGTGTCCTCACAGTGGCTTGCGACGACCCCCACATCTCCTCCCCATTATCCTTCCTGTTCATCTCCTACTAGTTTTGCTCACTCTGCTTGTAGTTCACCAGCCTTTTTGCAGTTCCTGCATAAAAGGGGCAGCCTCCCCCCTCAGTGAACTGTCCTCTTTGCCTAGGATGCTCCTTTACCTCCTATAGGTCTTTGTGGAAACCTGCTCAAACATCTGCCATTCAGGGAGGCCTTCCCTCACCACCATATTTAAAATGGCAGCCCCTCCAGCACTCAGCGGCCACCTTCCTGGACGTAGCATCCCTGTCTTATTTTTTTTCTACATACTTGTCATCTGGCATACTGTATAATTAATTCACTTATTTCTTTATTGCTTGTTTTCCTCTAGTAGAATATAAGCTCCATGATGGTAGAGATTTTTGACTCTTTTTTCACACTGCTGACTCCCCAAATCCTTAGAAGAGCATCTGACGGATATTTGTTAAACAAATTTGTTAATTTTTTATCTTGTGCCTACAAAGTAGGAAACAAGTTATCCAGACAAAAAGATAGATTTAGGCTCAGATTTCCATCTGAGCTTTTAATACTCTGCTTCTTTTTGCCCATTTGAAAGATGAATGCAACTAGTTATTGGTAATGTGCCGAAAATGAGGGGTTTATTCAGTCCCATCTATATTACACGGCATAGACTAACAGTCGGGTACTGTCAAAGCAGTTGATTTAGTAAACTGTAAAGTACTTACAGCACTAAAACTAGTCCACAATTTTCAGGCAGTCTCTGAAAATCCCAGTTGAAATGACTGCTTTCGTGCATTTGAAGATTATTCAGCTTAGTGTATTTATCTGTTAGTCAAGACTGGTTTGCTCCTTATGTTACTTTTACCATCTTTTAATTCATTGTGTTGAAGACAAAGCCTCATGGATAGCTCTCATAATAATTGTAATTTTATAGATCGTTTTCTGATTATTCAATTAGTGCTGACTTCTCACTAGACTATATAATCCTTGCAGGCAGAGATTGTATCTTTTCTTTCACTTTGGTTTTGGGGGTTTTGTCTTTAGCTCAGCACTTCACCTCCAGCAGCACCTAGCACAGGCCTAACTCAGTATACATTGATGAATTTTAAATGAAGATTGGCACTCAAAGAACACTGGCATTTAAGGAATTGTTTTAATTTGATTAATTCTCTTAAAAACTTTTTTCCTGATAGGGTGCAACCTCACTTGAAGAAATGTTTTGAAGGAATTGCAAAGGTGGAATTCACAGAAACTTTAGACATTACTCACATGAAGAGTAGTGAAGGAGAGGTTGTGGAACTCACCGAGGTCATTTCAACAGCCAAAGCCAGAGGTCAAGTGGAAAAGTGGTTGGTTGAGTTAGAGAGAATTATGATTAAGTCCATCCACAAGGTAATCAGTTATATTTATTATTTTTAGAAAAGAATGATCAAGTATTATTGACAAATGCACTGTCATTTAGACAGAAATGGAGGCATGAATTATCAATTCAAATGTGATAGATAACTTGAAGGCAACAAGATGGTCTGTCACGGTAATTTTTTAGTGACTTAAAAAGTAGGACAAAATGGCATCCATACTATAGATAACGTGTGCTTTAGTAATGCATCGTGCTCATTTCTTGCGGCCACATGCTAGTTCTTTCATCATTACTTAGATCCACTCCGGTCTACAAAGTCTGTCTTTAGTCTTACCTTGGAAGTACTTCTCTACAGATTTACATCAGTCTCCTTGACATATATGAATCTTTTTGTTCTGTGAGTATATAAAACACATACCAAAATGGTAGAAAATCATATATACTTCCAGCAATTAATAGCAACTTCATGTTTTCCACATCTCATAAAACATACTGTCAGCTTAATTGTTTGTAATTATCTTTGTTAATAGAGAACTTCAAGTCATGCCAACAAATAAAGATTGAGCAGTAAAGTTCATTTTTTTACTATAATATGGGCTTACCATTTACGTTCTTCATCAAGAATGAAAATCATGATTGAGCAGGGGACCATGAAGGGAGCATAATTAATTGATTCATTTTTAAATTAATATTTCAGATGCTCCCAAACATTATTGGAAAAATTTGTTGAAATCTAGGTGTTTAATGTTACCCTGTGTCTTAATGTTTTTTCTCTTCTTAAATATGGTTTAAATCTTGCCTGTATGATATTAATATATTCTAGAAAATGTAAAATCTTTTGGACAGTTTCCTATTTTCCAATTTTCTCCTTGTTATGAATTAAATTACAATGAATGTACATATGCATATAGCTGGTTTCTTTGATTTAATTATTTATTTTTTTATAAAAACTTTTCACACGTAGGACCACCGGGCCAAAGAGGATGAGTTTTCACAGGCCTTGATAAGTATTGACAAATAGCATTACCGTTTATGTGGCCATTAACAATGTAAATAAATTTCACTTTGAACACTATTTAGCAGCACTTAATTGGGTTATGTGATTTGCTAATTGATGTAGTATACAGTGATAAGTCATTATTTTAGGCATATCTGATATTATTTCAACTGTTCTTTTAATTTTATTTGTCAGAGTACTTACAGAAAATATTTTGATTGCTATTTCAGAGCATTAAGACGTGGTGGTAAGAAATTGTGTAGGAAATAAATATCTTCTCAAAATGTTCATGTGTAAGTTTGTGTTGGCAAAATGGCCAAGCTAAAGCAACAGAAAATACTACAAATAAGCTATATTAGTATGTGTTACTATGTTGTGTTATACGTATTTGTATGCTTGAAAGGCTACTGCATGTATATATTATTCTATCTATGTATGCCATATATATAATATATGTGGTAAACATTCATATAATAATAGACATTTCATGAGATATTGTGGAACTTTATGTAATCATATTTCTCCTCATACGACTATTATAGACCTCCCTTGCTGTGATTTAGATTTTAGTGTCTTCCTCTTGTTCTCCCCACAGCATGCTTCTAGAACACATATTTATGCCATCTTCTTGGCATTTCTTGGCTGTGCCTTTCTGTTCTTTTTTTGGCTCTTCCATCCCTCAGCTGTCCATTTTACCTGCCCTTCCTGTGGCTGCTTCTTGCCTTTAAAAATGTCTTTATTATCAATAGCCAACACTCTGCCCTTTATCTTTCTTCAGTTCTATAAATATCCCAGTGAGAATAGAAATCCAGAAAGGTTTTAACCATCCTTGTATATTTTCAGAAAAATCTAATTTTGATAATCTTTTCTGAAATTCAAACTTTAAAGTGCTTACCACTTCACAGATGACATTTCTACTTTTGGTTGATGCATATAATAGAATACGGTGTTTCCCACTGATGGTTGGTAGAAAAAGTAGATATATCAGTCCACTGAATATGTGTAGCAAAGTACACAAATTAGACTTCCTGACTTTACAGCCCTCAACTCTCCACGAATGAATTATACATCTGTGTCTGTCATCACTGCCTTGGACATCAAACTATAGGATTGAGAGGGAGTGAGGTCTGGAATCACAGGAGGAACTTCAAAGGGATTGTGTGGTTTGCTTGAGGATGCATATATACACATGCATATGGCCGAGTGGAGATCTGATTAAATTAAATGAAAGTCGTTATCTGTGAATTTGATAGATCTCATTTTGGAATTTTTTGAATTTCCTTGTGCTTGTTCAATCCAAATACATATAGGATATCTTTGACTAAAATTGTTCAAGTGAATATTTGATATTAATATAATGTGGTTCACACAAATTTTTAATGTATCAGTAAAATAAAATATTATGTAATATTTGTTTTGATCACAGGCATATGAATAAACTTTAAATAGCTCTAATCACATGTGTTAAGTGAATCTTTCATAATTGGTTTAGAATGTTGTAAAAAGTTGAGCAGTATAAGTTAATCTAGTTTAAGAATTTAGCTTTTCATTATATAGCTTGCTCAAGAAACTATTAATCTTTAGCATTTTCTTTTTCAATTAGGTAATTGGAGATGCAATTTCGGCCTATACAAAACATGAGCGAATTCATTGGGTACGGGATTGGCCTGGACAGACAGTTCTCTGTGTATCCCAAATTTTTTGGACCTTAGAAGTACAAACAGCTATTCCAGTGGGGCCAGGGGTAAGCTTTTATTACTCCTAGTTTTTTTAGTATTTTTTCAATAGTTACCATTGCCTGAATACACTTATTCTGAAAAATAAAATAATGATAATTCACTAAAAAAAAATCTATGTTATACTGCCAGCCAAAGTATAGATTTTTTAAAATAAAAATTGCATATAACAAATATGTAGGAAAAACTTATACAGATAACTACTCGAAATTTATGTTTAAACCATCTGTTTATTCACAGTGTATGAAAGTCAAGAGCACTGGAGCCTCAAAATCTTATTTATATACATTTTTGTGCTTTAAAAACAGAGTAATAATAGAACTAAGAAATTCAGAAAGATTAGGAGGGAATAAAGTAATATAATCCTCTCTTAAGCCTTGAGTAAAACTACCCTATATAGATTAGACATCAGTTGACTTATTGTGACTATTTTTAATGTATTGATTTTTAATAAATAATAAATTATTACTATTTTGAATGGTGCTTAGATTTAAATATTCTAATATAATTTTATATTTGAATTTAATATTACTAATTGGATTGTTATTAATTAAAAACCAACATTGCATTCAATGTAATCGAGACAGGATTTCCAGCAAATCAACTTTTAATTGATTGATGGGTCAACTGGAACCTAGCAATGTAGATCTTTAGTTTGAAACCATGGTTTTAAAATATATTTTTAACATGGAATTTGATATGTCTTTGACTCTAAGGTATTGTTGAACAGGGGTTTGAGAGGAACAGATGTTCTTTGTAGGCAGGCAGATCCCAAAGAGGAAGGTGCTGGGTGACACATGCTTAGTTCACTGCAACTTACCAGCAGGTCACTTACTTCTCCTCTGCAGGAAGAAATAAAGGTGTAGCGGAGGAAGTCAAAGGTTTTCAGGAAAGGGTCTTTCTTCATGAAAACCAGAGCACAGGAGCATGGGGGTTTTCCTAATAGCTGTTAGCCCTTGGCATGACTTCTGGTTCCTTGGCTATCTCTCCCCATGTGCATTTTTCTTTTTCTCTCAGTGAGTCCAGAGAATCCATTTTATCTTTTTACTTTTAAACTAATACTCACCAATCTCCCTGCACGAGGAATTTCTCCAGCACTCAGGTTGGGGCATATGTAGCCTCCTGGGTTCTCCCTCCTTGCTAGCTTATGTGGTGAAACATGAGTGGGACAGAAAAGATCATTTTTCACTATGTAAGAAGCAAATTAATAGCAAATTAAGAACGTAAATGATAGAAATGAAATAGTGTTAAAGCACCTTTGAAAAAAGGGCTTTCTTAAAAATAGTAATTAAAAAAGATAGAATATTTCAAGGAACAAGAAAAGTGCCCCTCAGACAACAACTTGCAGTCCCCAGCTCTATCTTTTAAACTTTTTCTCATTCTTAGAAATCCTCATTGTAGTTTTGTTGCCACCTTTTGGCAACAGCCATAACAGAGTGAAATAAACTCCTTGGTGTACAACATTTATTAAATATTTTTAGAGTGGAGAAAGCAGCCGCATCAGCCTGCTGGAGTGTATTGACATTTCCCTTAAGCACAGCGGTTTTTATTGATTGTAATTTGATTTTCATCATAAACCCTCTTCTCTTTTTTAACTTACTTGTTAGATTTATCTACTAGAAAAAAGACTCCAAAGCAAGCCTTGTCCTCAGAACTGGCATTAGCTCATTATAAACTAAAATGTTCAATGTTTTGTTTATTAGTATCTTCACATTAAGTGGCACAAACCCTATTCATAAAGCTTACACAGAGTACTAGAAGGACACATAGGATCAAAAGAAGAGTCGTCAGAATCAGGATCTTGGGGCTTCATCACTACTGTAGTCTCTTTTTTCGTTGTTTCTCTCTCATCTCTACTAGGCCCGGACAGGCTTTATTCTGCAGGGAGGATGAGGGCTTGCAGTAGTTTCAGACTGGCATATTCACGGCCTGCCAAGCCCAGTGAAAAGCACTTGTTCTCTCAGTCTATACAGCAGTCCCAGGGAAGAAGTATGACTGGATCTGGTTGGGTCACACATGCCCTCCTTCATGTTGCCATGGTGACTGGGCAACACGCTTGACAGCTCCAACAGAGCCACAGAGAAGAGAGAAGAGATAGAAATAGAAAAGGCAAGGGCGATGGGTAGACAGAAACCACATATTTAATATACCCACTATATCTGGCCAGATTGAGCTTGTTCACCTAACATCTTTGTAGTAAGAAAAACTGGTTATTTTAAAGTTATATCAGATGGAAAATTATGATCAAAATTCAGAGAAGAGTCTGTAGACATGCTCGTTTTTAAAGTGTTTTTGTTCGTAATGATTCTGATCACATTGGGAAATCATATCTTATTTTTTTTTCTTTCAGTCTCTTGAGCAATACTTGGAAAAATGTAACAGACAAATTGATGATATTGTCACTTTGGTGCGTGGCAAATTGTCCAAGCAAAATCGTGTTACTCTGGGAGCACTTGTGGTACTGGATGTCCATGCTAGAGATGTCCTCACAACGCTTGTGAAAAAAAAAGTTAGCGATGACTCTGACTTCGAATGGCTAAGTCAGCTTAGATACTATTGGCAAGTAAGTGGTATCACTAAATGTTATTGCACAGCAATTTCAACTCACTGTATTTTAATTTGTGTTTGCTTGCTTACATGGGAAATAGTAGCATTAATATGGGATCTTTTGCTGATGGCTGACTATAAACAAATAAGCATTTCTCCAGATTGAAGATTAAGCTGCTAATAACTACATCTACATCATCTGTAGTGATATCTATATCCAAATCTATAATTATATTCAAATATATATACACATATAGATCACAAATATGATGAATACATACCAAAAATTACTCATTTTAAATGAGTCATTATACTTGCTGAATCTGCAAAATGTTGAGACTAGTCAGTTTAAAATTGTGTTTTTAGATTCCTGATGCATCTAAAGAATGTACAAATCAAACTCTTTTAGTCTGATGTAGTCATTAGAGTTTTCTCTTGATCAGTGGAAGAAGCCAGAAACATAATCTGGAAGGAAGGTTTTTATCATGGCATCCAGGTGGATGGTGATGGTGATCATGACAGGGAAGGCAGGCGGATCAGAAACTGTTAGTGCCTGGGCCCATCGAGTGTGGGCAGAGACAGCTGCTGACTGGAGTCACAGACTTGGAAGTTTTCATCACACAGGGTTTTGTGGAAGTCTGGAGAATATGGGGCAGAAGGAGAGGAGAGGCAGGAACCAGCATCCTGGGAAACAGTTTGAGGGGCAGTGTATTAAATGGTTAGGAGCTCAGACAGTGGAACCATCATTTCAAATGTCAGATCCTCCCTTTACCAAATATATAACTTTGGCCAGGTTACTCATTTTCTGTAAGCATTAGTTTCCTCATCTGTAAAATGGTGATAATAATAATACCCACTTTGTAGTGAAAACAGAAGAGATAAGAGATGAATGCTAAAATATTCTATGGGAATAACTGAAGCTAGTAACTTCAATTACTTATCCACGGAAACTTGATACTGAATTCTTCTACTTGATCAAATGATGTCTGAAAAGTGAAGTTTAAGATGTTGTCTACATTATGATTATTAATTATTAAAGAGCTTGAGATTTCATATTATTTAAAATTTTATTTTTTAAACCAGTGATCTCAAACGTTTTTGGCACCAGGGACCGGTTTCATGGAAGACAGTTTTCCCAGGATGGGTGGTAAGGGGGAGGCGGATCTCTGGCAGTGGTGTCAGCAATGGGGAGTGGCTGTAGCACCTGTAAATACAGATGAAGCTTCATTCATTTGCCTGCTGCTCACCTCCTGCTGGGTGGCCCAGTTCCTAAATTTCATGGAAGACAATTTTTCCACAGATGGGTGGTGGGGGGGGGGCATGGGCAGAGCTCAGGCGATGATGCGTAGCCCAGTTCCTAACAGGCCCTGGGCCGGTGCTGGGGCATGGCCCAGGGGTTGGGGACTGCAGCTAACTTCATTTTATCTGATTTGTCCTAGGAAAATCATTTGGAAACGAAGATGATCAATGCTGGTTTGCGATATGGGTATGAATATCTGGGTAATTCTCCTAGGCTGGTTATTACTCCACTCACTGATAGATGTTACAGGTAAATCCTTTAATTTAAGGATCTATTGGAAATAACTTTCATTCAGCCCTACACCACTGATTTCTTTAAAAATACCAACCTATCTTCCATAGTGTAAATTTATCCTGTGTTATTTTTTCCTAGACCTTTAATTTTCCTTTCAGCTTTATTTTCATTTTCTCTTCTCTGCTGGCTTCTTCCCCTCAGCTCTAGAGATCTAGGTATTATCAAGTATCACTGTTGTTTTTGACACTGTCACTCCTTCTTTTCTTCCTGAAACTGACTTCCTTTTAGATCATTTGAGCCACCAATGAAACATTGAGCCATTAGTTCCTTCCCTAGAAACACTGACTTTTCTAGAGTTCCGTTTTCATGTGGTGATTTGTCTCATGCTTCATGGTTTCCCGAAAGTTCTCAGCCACTCCCAGGCATTAGTGGCCCACATCCTGAAGACCCTCATAGTCACCTCTGGCCAAGGTCTCTCCTATAAACTTTTGCTGTACACATGCCTACTGGATATCTCCGTTAGATATCTCATAGGTACTTACATTTACATTTTTTCCAAAAGCAGATTTACCATTAACACCTAAATTAGCTCAACTTCCTCTATTCCCATCTCAGAATATGGCAGTGACTAGCCATCAAACCAGTCATCTCTACAAATACCTAGCTTTGTCCTTGACTCTTTCTCAATTCTTCACATCTAGACACACAAAGTCCCACTGATTTCATTGAATTAACTTTTTAAAATTATTTTACTTTTTATTCTCTTCCTTGTTTTGAAAAAAATAGATGTTTTAAAGAGCAGTTTTAGATTCACAGAAAAATTGTGTAGAAAGTACAGGGAATTCTTAAATCACTCCCCCCACCCACTGCCATTTCTCCTATTATTAACATCTCGCCTTAGTGTGGCACGTGTGTTATGATTAATAAACCAATATTGATACATTCTTGTTAACTAAAGTCCACAATTAAATCAGGATCCACTGTGTTATATAGTCTTAGGGGTTTGACAAATGCATAACATCATGTATCCACAATTACAGTATCATACAGAATAGTTTCACTGCCCAAAAATGCCCTGTGCTCCACACATTCATCCTGCCTCCCCTCTCCATGAACACCTGGCAACCACTGTGATCTTTTGTATGTGTGTGTGTGTGTGTGTGTGTGTGTGTGTCTCTCTCTCTTTCTCTTTCTCTCTCTCTCTTTCTCTCTTTCTATAGATAGATGGATAGATAAAACAGAATGTCATGTAGTACTTGGAATCCAGAGGCTGTCTTCTTTCACTTAGCAGTATGCATTTGAGGTTCCTCCATGGCTTTTCATAGCTTGATAGCACACTTCTTTTTATCACTGAATAATACTCTATTGTATGGATGTACCACAGTTTATCCATTTACCTGTTAAAGGACATCATGATTGCTTTGAACTTTTGGTGATTATGAATAAAGCTGCCACAGATATTTGTGTGCAGGTTTTCGTGTGGACATAAGTTTTCAACCCATTTGGATAAATACCCAGGAGCGTGATTGCTAGATCATATGGTAAGGCTGTGTTAAGCTGTGTTAAGGCTGTGTTAACTGCCAGACTGTCTCCCAAAGTGGCTGTACTTTGGAAGTACATTGAACATGCATTTGCATGTGGATATCCAGTTGTTTCAACAGCATTTGTTGAAAAGACTGTCCTTTCTCTATAGAATTGCCCTTGCTCCTTTGTCAAAGATCTGATTTTATTTTAGAAATATGTGTTAGGGATATGTAGTCTACATTTTTCTTCCCCTCAGAACACCCAAAGAGCTAAAGTAATGGAAAATAAAGTCTAAATTTATAAATGGTTGAGCAACTATCTGATCCTTAATTCAAAGCTCTTGCGTACAATCTAGATTGAAGAATGTAGCCTAGCCCTAAGATGACTAATTCTTTCCTTCTCCCTAAAGCTAAGCATGCTTTCTATATGGGTGAAGAGCTGGATTCAAGAGAAGGAATAGTGGATCCAACTCATTCAGTTGCATATGGGGAATGAGAGCCACACAGTGACACCACCTACTACTTAAACAAGGTCCCATTCATTCATGTTAAGATTTGACCTCAATATGTGCAATCCTGGAGAGAGAGAAATTGGAAGTTTTGGCATAAGTTCCCTTCATATAGCCAACATAGCCAACCTGAGAGGAAGGGTAGAAAGATTCTGCCCAATGTTGTTTTCTTCTGATTAACTCTAATAGCACCACCCTACTAGCTGCTTAAATATCTTCCCACTTGCTAAGTACAAATATAGCATATGAGGACCAATATGATCTCTCCATTGAACTCTACACTCCAGTAACACCAAACTCTTTCTTATATATACCATTCTACTTCTTCACTCTGTACCTTTGCATATACTTGTCTCATTTTCCTGTCAAGTTCTCCTCTTTTTTGTTCCCCAGTGAATATGACTTAACTCCTACTTAATCCTTCAGGACCTCATCTTTTATAGGTGGCCTACTTTGACTTTCCTAGCTACATTTAGAATCTCTCCTCTGTGATTCCCATCACACCTGATGTCTTTTCCTGTCTTAGCACTCATGATAATGGATTGAAAATATGTTTTATGTACTTTGTGTTCTTTGTTGTAGTCTTTTCATGGACAAAATTTGTGCCCTATTTTTTCCTCTATCCCCAGCACCAACACATTTCCTGGCATGAAGTAGGCATTTAGTAACATGTATTGAACACCCATAAACTGAAGGGCAGTTTTACATTATATTGCTTCCTAGACAATGATTAGAGTTATAAATTTTTTATAAACAGTAAGGCTGTTCACATGTTTTATTTAAAATAATGATGTTTTTCAGATAAAGGATAGCGTTTAATGTCTGGGTCTTCCTCATTGGCCTGGTAGGAGTATGATTTATGGAGCATGCAATGAATCAGGGCAGTGGTTCAGGATTAAGGCCAAGAACAATGCAGTAGAACTGGAATCTACTTTTATATTATACCACTTGCATGGCATAGGGGCAGGCCCAATCACTTGAAGAATCTACATATGATCTTTTAGTGCTATTGCTTATGGCTTTACTCTGTACCCAGCTGAAGCCTTTATAGATTTTACAATATTGGAATCCCTTTAGATTCAACATATATGTGTGTACACACCATGTAACTGTGAGAAAAAATAATTCTTAAATTTCAATAATTCAGGAAGCACTGTTAATTAGCTACTATGTACCACATACTCTAGAAGTACTCTTAATAGAGAAAAGATAGAATCTCTGTATTCAGATATTTTTCAGATGGGAAAGGCAGATTAGAAAACAAGACAATGTACTAATCAAAATATTAGCGGTGAACATTAGGTGCTATAGGTATATGTAATCCAGATGGAAATGGAAGTTCATGGAAGAATTTCCTACTAACTAATTTGTTAACATGAAGTATAGATGGAGATCTTATATTAGGAAATCTAATATGGAAGAATGAGGGGACTTACCCAATCAAAATGCAAAGGGTTTCTGTATCCTTTGGCTGGTGAGTTTAATCCATTTACGCTTAATGTAACTACTAAGCTATTTGGACTTATTTAAATCATCTTATTTTGTGCTTTATACTCCCCAAGTATTAAATTTTATTTTGTTTTGTTTTCTTTGCCTCTTGTTGTATCTTTTATTAAGTGGTTACATTTTTTTTGTTCATTCATCTTATCTGATATGGATATGATATGGGATATGATACAGGCTATGATATAAGATTCTGTTTCATTCCCTTAAAGGTTATCTTACACTTTAAAAATGTCTATTTCACTTAATGAAATCTAAAGTTAATAAATACCTCTATCCTATTTCTGAATAAAAAAAGGGCTTTAACTACTTTAACTCCAAGTTCCTATCACTCATATTCCAAATTATTGTTAAATACTAAATTAAACTTTGTCTTTTAATTTCTTTCTGAAAAATTAGTCATTTTAACTAGTTTATTGAATAAACCAGTCTCAGGATGCAAGCAGAAAGCAATTTATCACTGTTCTTTTAAACTTTCTCCATCAAATATTTCTCTTTCCTGGATGAAATCTAGGGTAGATCCATAGCTTTTCTGGTCACTTTAAAATATTAATGAATAATGTTAATTTTTTTATCAGGTAGTAAAAATCCACTTAGGTCTAATATCAAAGTTAATATTTCTCATCCAATTTAAAACTTTCCTTTTCCATCAGCTCAAACCTGATTCAGGCTCAGAGCCTGAATTTGGGAAGGTAAATGTGGTCAATTTTTTTATCCTTATCCTTGCATTCATCCATCAATAGCTTATCTTTTGGTTCCCACACTATTGGGGTTTGATGGGGGAAAGGAGAAGGAAAAGAAAATGTAGGTTTGTACGTGATGGGCATCTTGTGTGACCACTATCTCTTGGCTGTTTAGTGATGTCTTGGTGATGGCACAAATCCAGATGTGCCAGATCTTCCAAGGGATGCTTCTGTGGGTTCTTTGAAGCCCCAAATGAGTGGATTCTCCCACCTGTGGAAAACACCTTCTGGGGCTGCCTGCTGTCTACTGTTGCTTTAGGCTCTGTCTGAGGGTCACCCAACACAGACCCTCTCTTTGGGATTCTCTTCAATTCCAGCTGGGCCTCCAGCACAAGGAGTATGACTCAAAGATCTGGCATAATGACACACACATTTGTTTTGCCAGCAGTAGGAGTGCATCTCTCTTACTGCCCCCTTTTCTTCTGCTCTGCCATCAGGAGAAGCTCCAGGCATCCTCCTGACTTGAAACATTTTAGGTTGTCAATCAACTCTCACTTCCTGTGTTCCACAAACTGCAGGGGGCAGATAATGTGCCAGGCTTTCTGGGTAGTTCTCTAAAGGTCCCTGAGTTAGCTTGGGAGAGGAAAATTGCTGCTCTTTCTGTCACCATACAATGAGAGTTGAAAAACACAACACACTACCAACTCTTTCCAAAGGAATCAAAGAAATCCTCACTTCTGGCCTCTCATTTACAATCTGTCTATCTACTTTTTATACTCCCTGATGATAGGCAAGGTACCAGTCCAATTTCACTATCTATAAGATAAGATGATCTGATATTTATTGTTCTCAGCTTGAGGCTTTAATCAAAGTTCTGAGATAGAAAGAGCCCTATTTAATATAGTGTTACATATTTTTACTGTTAATATTTATATAGGTTTACCAAAACTTTTTTATCATTTTTCTCTACTCGTCATTTATTTTTGCTTTGTCTACTTCTGGTTTAATTTTCTCCTTACTAGGCAAGATCTTTTAATAATCATTTCAGTGAGGCTCTGTAAGTAGTGAGCTCTATCAATCTTGTGTAAAAATGCCTCTTTTTTGTCTTTACTCAATTATTAAATGCTAGATTAGCTAGGTATAGAACTATAGATGAATAATATTTCCTCAGTCCTTCAAATATTCTATTCTTGTGGTCATCCGTTGCTATTGCTGAGAAGTTTGTTATTCTAATTATTATTCCTTTGTAGGTCATTTTCTTATCTGTATTGTAATTTTTAAAATTTTCTCTTTATTGTTGATGCTCACTGTGATGGTCTAGATGTGGATTACTTTTTATTTATTCTACTTGGGCCTTTTATAATTCATGTCTTCAATTCTGGAAAGTTCTTAGCCATTGCTGTTTAAATTTTGCTTCTTCACAATTTTCTTCCTTCCTTCCTCTGTGCATCTTAACTTTTCTTATGTTCAGTTTCTGTACCTCTTCGAGTGATTTTCGGTGCATAATTACTAATTCTCTTATGTTTATTCTTCTATTTAACCTGTTCACCGAGGTTTTAAAAGTCCAACGATTATATTTTTAATTGCTAGAATTTCAAGTTGTCTCTTTTATAAAATTGGCTTCTTTTTTTCTCTCACAGCTTTCTGGTGTCTATTGCTTTTTATTTAAAATCTCTTTTAACAGAATACTAGGATACCAAAGAGGGCAGGACGTCATGTATATAATAACATTCCAAGACCTTTTTCCCTTTACTTTTGCTACAGCAAGTCTGATGCCAAACTCTGATCTCTCTCTCTCTCTCTTGAGTTTTAACTGTGAGCTCATTTTAGTAAGGGTTATTTCCCCATACAGTCTTGCTTGTTGTCATTTGTAGGCGGTGTCCATGGGGAGCAGTTTTATTTTTATGTCTGAGGAGGGCTCTAGAGTTTTCTCTGGTGTAGGATAAAATGTTAATGTTAATTTCTCAGTTTGGTTAATGTGCCCATTGATAATGGAAAGTTGGACCTCTTTTTTCCCCATAAATGATGTAGGCTTTTCATTAGGCCTTGCATGAACGGTAAGCTTCCTTGTCCCTTCCCCACTTGACTTTTCTCTTTCTTTCTCCAGCAAATTGCTGGAGTAATTCTAGCTCCAATTCGGAGATAAGATGGCCTTTCAAAGCTTCTGGAATTTACATAGGTGGATCCATTCCAGCTCCTCCACTTTGCTCAGTTATGAGGGGTTATTTTCTGTTTCTATGTGAGCATAAATATACTTGTGGTTGTATACCAATCCCAAAACAATCTTTTAGTGTCCAATTACTTTTCCAGGTTTGCATCCCCTCTGCATTGGTAACTTCCCTTTCATTCTTTCAAAAATGGCCATGTATTTTTAAATTATTATTTGTTTTCTTTTACGTAACATTTCTCTATGCTTATAGTAGGGGAATTGGTGGTTCAGGGTCAGTTGAATTCTCCATGTTGGCCAGAAGTCAGCATTGAATTTCAAAAGTGAATTTGTTTTGAATTTGTCATATATACAGCTATTCAGAAGTAAAATATAATAACAAACAAAGTAATGGACTATCAGATTTTTCAGAGGTTAGTGGGAAGGAAGAAATTATTATGACAAATTTAGTTCTTAGTATAAACATTCCCTCTGCTTAATACATGAAAAAAAATCATTATTCTACAAAGATTGTCTGTTTAATGCATTTCAGAACCTTATTTGGAGCCCTTCACTTGCACCTTGGAGGAGCACCTGAGGGTCCAGCTGGCACTGGGAAGACCGAAACTACCAAGGATTTGGCAAAAGCTGTAGCCAAACAATGTGTCGTTTTCAACTGCTCTGATGGGTTAGATTATTTGGCTTTAGGAAAATTCTTTAAGGTTTGAATTGATTCCTCATTTTTTTACATTAGGATGACTGATCAGAAAGGAAGCCTATTTATAATGAAACATAATTGAATTCAAGTAAAAGATTTACTGTAGCTTAAGTAAAAGTAAAAATAGAAGCTCTATCTCACTAATTCTCAAGGAAAGGGAGGTTATAACAAAAGCCTATTTGGGGAGGAGCTCCCTCTCCAGTGCCTCCTATAATGGATCATTATTACTGATAGGAATGACAAGTGTCCCTTAAATACATTGAGGCAGATAAACGTTTGAGAACCACCACATCATGTAAAGGTTGTGGGACTCTAAAGACTCCTTTAACAGGCAGATCTTATTATCAACAAGTTATTATGATTCAATAATTTACTTTTATAAACACATTCTAGTTATTCTTTTTCAGTAAACTTGTCCTTGTTTTATTATTTGTTTTTCCTTTTTTAAAGTTTTATTTATTTTTGTTGATGCATATAATCCATTTGGGATTATAGGTTCTTTCTTATTTATTTATGTTTTCTTTAATTTTCAAAGTACGTTCTAAAGATTCTGTAATGTTTTCTTTTCCAAATTTTTTCCAGAAAAAGTTAACGTTTTAAAAAATAAACAAACTAGCAAAATAGAATATACCAACTCTAACCCATGTAGTAAACTGTTCCTGACTGAAATATGGCCTGATCATTATATAACAGATCTGGGGTTTAAAATCACTCCACATTTGTGATGCTGAAACAATTAGAAAGAGAATTTTAAAAGGTCAAAATTATAATTAATAAAATACCAAGAAAACATTTGAATGACCAATTAACATTTTAATTTATCTTCTGTAATGATTAACAACCGTGTTATAATGATTATTTTAAGAAATAAATAGCAAAACTAAAGGATTCTACATGTAGTTTGAATAGCCATTCTTTTCCTAAATGTCTAAGGAAATATTTGATGTATCACTCAATATTTGAATCTATATAATGAATTCTTAATTATCTTATTTAGATTCATACACCTAATAGTATTAAATTTGCTTATTGGTAAGTATTTATTGATTATGGATACCTTCTTTGTGTTAGGATCATGCCAAATAATGGGGGTACAAAATTAGAGTCCTTACTACCAAGAATCTCACATATTGTATTACTGTTTGAATATGTGACTTCCTAAGCATTTTGTTCACTCTGATTTCTAATCATACATTAGAAGTAAAAGTCATAGATCGCATCTTCTTTAAATAATGGAAATGTACTATTCTTTGACATGCATAGAGTCCCTGTTTAATCAATGTTCATTCAAAAGTATGAACTGTGTACAAATCCCAGATCAGCTGCAAATAGCTGTGTGCCTTTGTGCTAATTACTTAACATCTCGTATGGCAGCAGTCCCCAACCTTTTTGGCACCAGGGACTGGTTTCATGGAAGACAATTTTTCCATGGACAGGGGCTGGGGGAATGGTTTTGGGATGATTCAGGGCATTACATTTTTTTTTTTGAGACAGAGTCTCACTCTGTTGCCTGGGCTAGAGTGCCGTGGCATCAGCCTAGCTCACAGCAAGCTCTAACTCCTGGGCTCAAGTGATCCTCCTATCTCAGCCTCCTGAGTAGCTGGGACTACAGGTATGCACCACAATGCCTGACTAATTTTTTCTATTTTAGTTGCCTCGCTAATTTCTTTCCTTTTTTTAGTAGAGATGGGGTCTTGCTCTTGCTCAGGCTGGTCTTGAACTCCTGTCCTCAAGTGATCCTCCCACCTTGGCCCCCCAAGTGCTAGGATTATAAGTGTGAGCCACTTACGCTTGGCCACATTACATTTATTGTGCACTTTATTATTATTACATTGTAATATTTAATGAAATAATTATGCAACTCACCATAATGCAGAATCTAATGCAGCTGCTGATCTCACAGGAGGAGTGGCTCAGGCAGTGATGTGAGCGATGGGGAGCAGCTATCAATACAGTTGAAGCTTTGCTGGCTTGCCCTCACTCATCTCCTGCTGTGGCTGTGCAGCCAGGCTCCTAACAGGCCACGGACTGGTACCGGTACCTGGCCCGGGGAGTTGGGGACCACAGTCTTATGGTATACCCTTTAGTTTGCTTGTATAAGAGATATGTACGAAATGCCATGAATCATGCCTGGCACATGCAGTGTACTCAATGAAAAACACACACAGACATACACACATTATAAAATGTATGTTCAATAAATGTGTATTGAATTTTTCGATGTTTTTAAAAAGTGAACCTGAGCCAAGCGTGGTGGTGCGTTCCTGTATTCCCAGCTACTCAGGAACTGAGGCAGAGGATCACTTGAGCCTGGAAGTTTGAGGTTGCAGTGAGCTATGATGATGCCACTGCACTCTAACCCAGGTGACAGAGGGAAACTCTGTCTCAAAAAAAAAGAAAAAGTAAATATGAGTTCAGACGAAGCTACACATGCTTGATTTTCCAGTTTTTCCTTATGACCAAATGGCACACATTTGTGAGGCCACTATGGGTTAGAATTGCAAATTGGAGCCTTAAACTATGTTAGTTAATTACTAAGGTGCTCAAATCACAAAGCAGTTACATTGGCAACTGAAGTCATCTTATTTAGAGGATTATCATAACCCATTCTATAGCATCCACATGGAAAAAGCAAATAAAATCAGCTTGTAAATAAAAAACAAGAAAAACTTTGAAATTACAGATATATATCGATCTAAATGATAAGAAAAACACAGAAAGTAGGAAAAAATCAGTTGGAAAATTTTCCAGTTGATCAAATGCTTTGTTCCTGCAGAATAATGAATTGGTAATGAAAAAAATAAGCTGTCTTTAAAGATAAAGGTGAATAAGCAATTTCCTTGATAGGATATTAAATACTTGAAAAGATCAGGTGAAAATGCAACATTTCAATGCAATAGCCAATCACATAAAGTTGAAAATTTTCATTACTCTTTTATTGCAGGGACTGTTATCTTGTGGAGCCTGGGCTTGCTTTGATGAGTTTAACAGAATTGATTTGGAAGTACTTTCTGTGGTTGCTCAACAAATCCTTACTATCCAAAGAGGTAATGGACTAGTCTGTCTTTGCATTATGTAAAAATAAAAGAAATATGAGAGGTAACGAATGGTGCCAAGTCACATTTACATGAGGTATTACTAAGTCATTTCATTCCTGATTACCTGCAGGCATTAATGCAGGTGCTGAGATACTAGTATTTGAAGGAACTGAACTAAAACTTGACCCCACGTGTGCTGTCTTCATAACAATGAACCCCGGGTATGCTGGGAGATCAGAACTGCCAGACAACCTGAAGGTATGGAGAGAGTAATTATTATCATCTATTTCTTTTCCATAATTTACAGAGTTAATATATGAAAAGAAAGAATAGGCTGTCTTGGAATTTTATGCAAATTTTTTTTTTAGTCATTATAATATTTTAGAAAGTAATTTTTAAAGGTTTGAGTATTTTTAGAAAATAAATATGCACATCAGGTGCAATTTCCAAAATGTATATTTTTAAAATAGTGCTAATTATAAAAAATTAGAAACTATTAAAAAAACTAAGAAGTTACCCATTCTGCTACTTACTATATTGTGTCTCCCCAATTTTAAATGCCTTTTTTACAATGTTGGAATCAGATAGTTTTGTATGCTGGGTGGGTTTTTTTCAAGTTAATATTATAATATGAGAATGTTCCCATCTTTATAATCATAATTCAAACTGTAAATAAATTTACTGAAACTTATCTCACTATTGGACATTTAGGTTGCTTTTAGTTTTCCTGATTGTAAATAATATCACAATGGACAGTTTTTACTTAAGGTTTTTTTCTATTTTAAAGCATTTCTTTAGGTAGGATCATAGGACCAAGAACTGTGTCGCTAAATTGCCTTCTAAGACAGGTTGAAACAATTTACATCCCATGTCAATTCTCAATTTTCGTAGATACCCCACACCAATTGTGTTTTTTGGGCAAAAAAGAACAAAACATTTTCTTAATTGAATTAACCAGCCCTTCACTTAAAAAAAAAAAAAAAAACAACTTCTTTGCTTATTAGTGAAATATGACATTTCCCCCATATCTTTGTTAGCCATTTTATATCCTTGTCTGGTGAACTGCATGTTTATGGTATTTGCGTAGAGAATAACATTAAAGAATAATGCAATGGTAATTGTGGATCCAAAACCAAGTCTTCTAACTAAATCTTACACTCCTTCCATACTTCACTTAGACTGACAGCTTCTCACACTAAATGAGCAATTTCTCTTTTCTACCAAAAAGACTTTTGATATGACTAATTGTTGCCAGGTATTTTTGTATTTCCATTTTGTATTTTCCATTTCCATTCCATTTCATTTATGTTAGAGCGGTTGTTTTAGTACTTCACCTTAGTGAAGGAAGACATGATTAACAAATGAAAACTGGTAAATCCTAACGCGTCTGAAATGAAAGAGTTACATATTTCTAAAAAAAAAAAATTCCAGTGGAGCCCAGAAATTATCATTACCAATCTTCAGAATCATCCTTGAAACCTCCCTTTTCTTCACTTGGTGCAGTCAGTCACCAAAGCCCAGGAATCCTATTTCACAAAAGTCCTATAATGCCTTCTGCACCTGTCTGGTCCCACTGCCACACCTTACTGCCACGCCCTATCTGTCTTCTCCAGTGTGTCTTATTGCAACAGCTCACTCATCACCAGTCTCTTCCCCACTGAAATTCACTGTAATGATTTTCCCACTACAGTGCTACCAATGTTATCTATCAAAAAAAATCCAATCATATAATTTCCACCCTTAAAAAACTGCTGGGCTCCTTTTTGCCTATAGAATAAAATTCAAATTTCTTAGTATAATCTATGAGAGCCTTGGCATTAGGACCCAACTGCATCTGTCCCCCCATTTCCCTGCATGTCTGTTACACTGGGCCTCGCTAGCCTCCGAACATCTCAGGCCTTTCCACATTCTGTTTTTTCTCTCAAGTGTTTTGCTAAACCACCACTTTCCTGCCTGACAAATTCATACTTGTCTTTAAACTAGCAGTGAACCATTGAATATACCTACAGTTCAGATATGACCTTCTGGGTGAAGTTCCTGGACCTGGCAGAGGTTTATAGCTGAGTCTTATTGTACACATGTCTATGGGTTCTTCCTGGACTCCTCTGTTAGGTCTCTACTTGTACCTCCCAAGACTTGGGTAATGGATTCTATCTCTCCAGTTGTTATTCCCTTCTCTCTGCCTGGATCTCTGGTTTATTCCACATAAACATCACCGTTAGAGAGCGCTCACTCTGCCAGGTAGTATCTAGGGCAAGACTTAAAATGGCTCCAGCTTGGCCCTTTTCTGTATCACGTACAGCTCATGTGTCCTTTGTCTCAACAAACTCTGGGCATTAAACCTGCGGCCACAGGCCACTTTTGCTTTCTCAGACGTGAGCCTGGCACTGATCCATATTTCCCCAAATGTGGGATGTCTTCCAAGCTCTCACTGAACTTGGGGGTAGTGAAGGGGGTTGTGGGGACTCACAACATAACAGCAGCTTTCTTCAAAGGATATATTTTCACAAATCCTCCCTCCTTCCTTACTCTCTCAAATATGTTGTGATCTACAGGTAGACGAGAAGGTTCAAGGATAGAATACATTTTGTTTGTAAATATTGCATAGTGGGCAGATCACATGCACTTTGGTAACTGATACGTATTATATCATGTCATGCAGAAAGAGTCCCATTTTGACATCCTGTTACATCTAGACAAAACCTGCGTAATAAAGCAATTTCTTAAACACATTTCCACTTTAGAGAACCTGTATTTTAAATTGAAACTATTGTGAAGAATCAATACACAGTGATCATTTCAGAATAGTTAAGTGTTAGATGTCATGGTAAAACAGGCATATCCTGGATCTCCCGGTGTCACAAAGCTAATAACCTGATACATAGGATAAAACACCCCAGTAGTATTGAAGGAAAAAAGCAAAGTAGATCCTTAGTCCTCCATTTCACTCAACTAAAATCAAGCTGATTCCTGAGCAGATCAACATATTCATGAAATCTATTTCCAATTTCTTAGAAAGAAATGGTAAGAAGTTATTGCTTGAATTTTTTTTTATGCCAATATGGAATCCTTTGAAAACATACTCCAGGAAATATACATACTTCTTTACGTACCACCTTTCTTCTTCCATCAATAGGGCAGAAGCAGTAGAACAACTATTCTCAATTATTTATTTCTGCTGAGATATACATGAAGGGTTATGCTCACATTGATTACATATACTGGCATTTATTCAAGTCCTGGATCTAGATGTACCCCTTTGTTTTCACACTCAAGAATGTATGTCATTGGTTAATCTAGAATCCAATTTTTTTATAAAGTACTAACTAAATTATCTTCAAACTTACTGCTATTACTAACAAATTATTTCTAACACATCTAAAATCAAGCCATATTATATAAATATGTCACTCACCCTGATTGAGAATCACTGGATCAGGCTTAAAACATATTGTGATCAGGATGCTTTTCACTGTGATAAATAAGTAGCAATGTTAAATCTTTGGTGGAGGACTCTTAATAAGTGGAACATCATGATACTCTCTTGAAACTTCTTTCCCTTTATTTTTTGTTTTTCTAGTCACCAACATGCCTGTTTCATAGTGTTCCACCACCTATTGCTAATAATACTGAGAGAATGTAAATAGGAATTTGTGAAATACCCGGGGTTGTCAGAGGGAAACCTGCAACACAGTATGGATGTTGACCCTAAAGTAGTAGCAATTTGTACTGTTGTAGAAAGACTATATCACCTTAACCTAGTCATTGATTGGCCAACTGATTCGTTAATTCAGTCATTGTCTCTTTTATTCATTGAGAAGGTAGTTTTTGAGAAGCTACCCTTTGAAAGAGGTACCACCCATAGAGCAGCAATTCTCTTGCTTTCTTTTTTCTTCACCTGTGTAGTGGTTAGAAAACTTGCTTAAGCATCTCCTTTCCAAGTTATTTGCTCAACCTATATGTTTAAACATTTTACCTTTTCCATTCTTTAATGGTAAAAGAATGTAAAAAAGAATAGCACTGCTGTTGATAAAATAGCAGTACTAAGGCCTCTAACTACTAATTAATGTAACACATTGGAAGTATCCTACTTGATGTAAATCTTTCATTTGTTCTCAACTTAGAAGAATCATAATAGATCCCTTAAGCAGGATGCTCTTATTTTCTATCTACCTTATGTTTTTGGTAATTCAACTAATTCCCAGAAGTATTTACAAACTATCTGAATATGATTGTCATTCGTTTTTGGAGCTTCTTTTCCCCCCTAGAATATTGTTTTCACTCTTTAGTGTAAGAAAGTCATGTTTTAATACATGAGCTATTGAAGTGAGTCCTGATACATACTAATATTCTACACCTAAATTTTCTTATATGTTTATTCTTTTAAAGTCTGTTTGTTTTCTATTTACTTGCCATCACATACATTTATGTGTCTCAGGATATTTAAAAGATCATGAGAAAAAATTATCTTTATAATTTGGAAAATTGATTTATCTCTAATAATAATTATCTATGACTTATTTCCAGTTTTCTTTATTATGCTTGCTGAAAGACTGACATGTTGACTACAGACTCAAAAAGATTAGGAATTTCTGAAAATATATCACTTATTTAACATAGTCTTGTTATTAGGGGTTACCTGATTAGCCCTAGATTATATAATTAAGTAGATCCCTAGAGATCCTTGCTTGAAGCCCTGTCTCCCAACAGTAGGCACTCACCAGCCCAGATGAGAAACCTGGCTTTTAAACATCCTGGCAGAATCTGATGTTCTTTCTCCTGTAACATGTTGCTTCCCAGGAAGAATATAATGTAATTGAAAATTAACACTTACATGAAAAAGAATTTAGACAAAAAGCTAATGACATATTTATTATATAATAGGAAGTCAATTTTTAAATTGTTTTTTATCTATATGATTTGAACATTAAAATTTAATATTGTTGCAGAAAAGCTATAAAGTCATAGCATGTTATGGAATAAAGAGCAAGGCTGTCATTATGATGGTATTTTTATTTTATTTTTTGAATTTCCAAATCTCCTTATTTATATATATTTTTGCCTTTTAAATTATTTTTATTGACACATAATAATTGTATATATATAGGTACAGAGTGGGATTTTGATACATGTATACAATGGATAGTGATCAAATCAGTAATTAGCATATCTATCACATCAAACATTTATCATTTCTTTGTGTTGGGAACATTCAAAATCTTCTCTTTTAGCTATTTAAAAATATAGAATAAATTATTGTTAACTGTAGTCACCCTACAGTGCCATAGAACACTAGAACTTATTTCTCCTGTGTAGCTGTATTTTTGTATCTGTTAACCAACATTTCCCTTTCCTGCCTTTAGTTACCTCTATTCTTCACTCTGCTTCTATGAGATCAACTTTTTTAGCTTCCCCATATGAGGGAGAACATGTAGTATTCATCCTTCTGTGCTTGGCTTATTTTATGATGGTCTTTTTAAAAGCACCTTTTCTACACACCCATAGGCTCTCTTTCGGACAGTAGCAATGATGGTGCCTGACTACGCCATGATTGCCGAAATAGTCCTGTACTCCTGTGGGTTTGTCACTGCTCGGCCACTGTCCATAAAAATCGTGGCTACATATCGCTTGTGTTCGGAGCAGTTGTCATCTCAACATCACTACGACTATGGAATGAGAGCTGTGAAGTCAGTGCTGACCGCTGCTGGGAATCTAAAGGTAGAGAACACAAACGTTGCTTGGTTGTAAATTTCCCATGTATGAATCTCAGGTCTGTACGTCTTCACAGAGTTCCAATAACTGGTTGGTTTCATTAACTGACGGGAAAAAAAATCAATTATTGTACTTAAAAATGTATTATTTTGCACATGTTGATTTGTTTTTATAATGATTTTAGGTGATTTTACAGAATGATTGCACATGTAATTCTTAGTGATTTGAGCTCTCTTCTATAACTTTTTAATATGAAACTGGGAGCTACCAAGGATTCTTAGAAATATTTTCAAGGATTTCAGTCTATGTTACATATGAAACATTAAAGGAAATTATAAGTATAACTAATAAATATATCCAAAAGTTTCTAAATATTATCACTTAATATAATTAAACAATTATAGCCAACTGTCAACTAGCAGTAATAGATTTGCAGTATAATGTTTGCATTCAAAATGGTCTAAATCATACTGTATATATGAAAACCCAAATACTTTAAGATTTGGCTAACTTTTCATTGAAAATATTTTGTGGGACCATGAAATATAACTGTATATTAGCTAGTTCTTTATGAAAACAAGATAGGCTACAGTTAATAGCAAAATGCAAACTGTGACCTTGGAGTTTGCAAAATTTTCACATTCATGATTTGTAGAAGATAGAGATTTTAAAATACATTCTACATTATTAAGAACGATGGCATGCATTTTTATCTTCTATAATAATGTTATCAAGAATTCTGATATATAGTGATGATATTCTATTTCACATTAGCCTAACGTAACTTCAAGTCATTGTTTTTTGCAATAAACAAAAATGACTAGAAGCAACAATTTGTATTAACTTAGCTTGTCAGGATTACATTGTGGTCAGATAATGGGAAAGATAATGCATTGTCCTAGCGTATGTCATCACTGAAATCTTGACTATGGAATTGAGCTATTAAAGTTACGTAGCAAATGAATCCTGCAAATGAATCCTATCATTCTTTGTCAAAAGCTGATTTAGAATTGTTGAATGTTTTGGCCTGAATATTTTGAAGTTTGTTTCTGTTATATCAAGAGACAATTTAGACATTATCTTCAAAATAATAGCCTCTCAAATAGCAAAAGAGACTTCTGACATTTTATAATTTATGTGCAGTTAGATTGATCCAAAGATAAAATCCAGATGAACAGGACTAGCTCTCGCATTGGGGAGCTCTGGAGATTCAGAGACTGGATCTGAATGCCAGGCTTCACAGACTTTGTAAAGTTGCAGCCAGTTAAGTATGAAGATGGCATTTATTAGTTAGAAAGATTCTAGAGAAAAAGGAGAGGGTTCTGGAAACTTAGATGCAAGGCGAGGAGAAACTTTGGAATGAGATGTTGGGTAAAAGAATTCTGAATTTAGATTTTTGTTCACGCTATTATGAGTAACAAGTTCAGAGCTCATATTTTTAGTAAACTTTGGCTATACCACAAATGTTTTAGAATCTAATGTAAGTTGTCTTAACATCCTTTACTATACTGACTTAGCGCCCTAACCAGCCTTTCCCCCCTGTGGAACTCGCTAACACACGTGGCGGCATGGTGAGCACAGCCAGCATCATTGCCTGTTCTGTCCTTTTTTGGCTTCTGTCAGATGAGTTGTAGTCCTTACTTAGAGCTAGTTTGCTTGTTCTTGAAGCTTTTTGAAGCCAATTGGACATGTTATTGTTATTATTTCATTTCATTACGTGATGGGGAAACTGATGATATATAAGCATAAAAAGAAGGATTTTGTTTCTATGAAAACTAAGTTCATTGTTTAAGAAAACCTCAGTAAAGATGAAATGCTAAAACATTGCCTTTGAATTAGATGCAGATGAGAAAAGTGTACCAAACTGAAAAAATAAACTTAAAAGTTTATAAGGGTGATACACTTAAATTGTGTTACAAGTATCTTTGAAGAGCATTATCCCCTTTGAAAACAAAACAAAACACATAATGGGACAGAGTAGATGATGCATTGTTGTTTTGCAAAAAAAAGAAAAGATACAGAACTCTACACTCACAGAAAAGGCCTTGGCATGGAAATACAGGCAAATGAATGAATATTTTTTAAATTTAAATACATCTTCAAAATGATTGCCCACTTTCAATAATTTTTAATCAACCCATTACTAGTCTTGAATACATAGGATAAGCAAGCTCTGCCCAATATATAAGCGATGGCAACTCCCAAATTATATTGAATTCATGGTTAATATCTCTTTGCCTAGCATTTCTGTGAAAAGGTAGTTAGTTCAACCTAGGTTTTTATTATAAGGTAGTAAAAAAAATTCAACAAGTGTAAGTGTCAGTTTCTAAAATTAACAACAATCCAATAAAATGAAAAGAAATAAGGGCATTTTTGCATTTGTTTAAATTGCCTATAATTTTTTTGTATGTGGACATGAAAGGGAGGTGCAGCTAGCAGATGCGGATATAATCATGAGAATATTTTCTTTTAGCTGAAATATCCAAATGAAAATGAAGAAATTTTGCTGCTTAGATCTATCATTGATGTAAATCTGCCAAAATTTTTATCCCATGATTTACCACTCTTCGAGGTAAGAACATTTATTATTCCAATGTATCAAAACTCTTATAATAATGTATTTATCAAATGTCCAAGTTGGCAAAGCTCCCCAAGAGAACTTCCACTATGGAAAACAATGACACAGTATAGGGAAACAGATCATTCCGTGTTTTATTTGAAGTGTGTTTAGCTAGTTTTGTTGCTTTGGATGACTTTCAACAACTTGGGATTCTAAAATAGTACCTTTTTTGCTGCAGAATATAATGAGCACACAAAAGTTACAAAATGTTTGCTTATAAATTCCACTAGAATATAGGCTCTGTTAAGAAAAGTGATTGTTCTAACACACACTGAATTCCTAGCACAGTACAGGTACAGCACTTGGTAAATGTCCGATTAATGACTGAAGAAATAAAATAAATAAACTTAATTTCTTTAAAAGAGTGAGATGACTTTAAGATTAGAGAGGAAATGTTAGAATAATGTTTAAAGTTTCCGTAATATCATTTGGTGTCATTCCTTTCCTCTTCCCCATATGAGGTCTAAGTCTGAAATCAAGGTGTTGGGAGGCTATGCTCCCTCTGAAGGCTCTAGGGAAGAATTCTTCCTTGCCTCTTCCTAGCTTTGGTGGCTCCCTGAAACCTTTCGGTTATAACTGCTTCACTCCAGTCTCTGCCTCCATCGTGAGGTGGCCTCCTTCCCTGTGTCTCTGTGTCTAAATCGCTCTCCTCTGTTCTCTAAAACAGACACTGGTCACTGGATTTAGGGTCCACCCTAAGCCAGTATAACAATATCTTAACTAATTACATCTGCAAAGACCCTCTTTTCCCATAAGGTCACATTCTGAGGCTCTGGGTGGACATGAAATTTTGGGGGACAATATTCAACCCACTATGATGTATCCATTAAAATGCTTTCAAACTAATTTTTGTATTTGTTTGAAGTATGGATTAAAGTTAATTATTTTGAGCATGGCTAGTTTTCCTAGTATAATTTGCTGAAAAGAGTCTTTTCT